AGTGGTTTTGTTATAGGGATGGCAGTGTTGGTTCAGCATTGGAAGATCCACCCCCAAAAGTCATCATTTTAACAGAGGAAAGGAAAAAGCCGGAGAGGCATACTTTGGTCTTACCCACTGTTTACAATGCAGAGTGAACTGGTAGGTCTGGGAACAGGGTAAACACAGTGTGGCAATCTCCAGTCAGGGGACCAGGGACCTCAGAGGTCAGGAAATGTGAATCCATGTACCCATGTGTGCATGTGTGTGTATAGTGTGCACACGTGCATGCATGAATGTGTGCAAACATCAGTGTGGGTGCATGCTGTGTGCATGTCCAAAAGAGGCTCCAGATATAGGCAGCAGTTGATTTGGAGAGAAGCTCATCTTTATTCCATGATGCTTTGGAACAACTTTATTCAAAAGGGCAGTTTATTCAGGGTCTTCCAGACCAGTGTTCTCTAAACTATTACAACCAGGATTCAGAATTAAGTCACACTTTCCTTTGGCCCGAACTTTTATCTGGAGATCCCAACCTAAAACCCCCGTGAACAATTGCTCCAAACAACATACACAAACTCTAGAGGACACACAGGACCTGTCAGTTTTGGGAAGTCGATCCAGAGTTAGGAAGGAAAAAATAAAAGTGAAGAAAAGTAAAGAAAACCCTAATGAACATCACATTTTCCTGAATGCCATTTTCTAAAACACAACTACAATGTCTCATGAATGAACTCGACAGAAATGAGTGTAATGAGCATAAATAGAAAAGTTAACATGCTGGACCAAAGCATTTGAATTCAGCTTAGTGACTACATTTCCTGTTTGAGTTCACATTTGCTTAATTAAAAGGGTTATTTATGGTTCTTTTTTTTAATTTTTTTATTTTTTTTTATTTTTTTAAATCTATTCATTCCTAGAGAAATCTAGGCTCTGCCCTGAAAGGCAGACTTTTGAGATAAGCTTGCAGTGCAGCTTTTGGGCTCCAGGTGGCGACAGAGATCAACTTCAGTCTTTTCAGAGACAGTTGTGTGAGAAATTAGGGTAAATTGAAATTGAATGCTTCGGGTCGCCTGTGTGTCAGCCAATGAGTCCTTCCCCAAGCCTCTGCCTCAGTTACGATGAATTCGTCCTTCTGAAACAGTGAAGGCTTTAGGAAGCTCCGTGTGCTGCTGACCGCTGATAAAAAGATTCTTAGTGCCCACTTGGCAGAGAGATATCAGCCTTGCTCTCTGGGAGCTTGAAGCCTAGGCTGCAATATAGATATTAAACACATTCTCACTTTTAGGCTTTTTTGATAGAGCATAACATGTGCACCTGGGCTCTTCTTGTGCCAGCGATGCAGCTGTGAATTATTTTCCCGCATACTCATCCCCTCTTCT